CTGTAATAGCAAGACATGTTTTCCTTCTGAGCGAAAGTCTGCCCCTTCTTAAACCGGACAACTGTTAAGAAATATTCTCTCATTCTCTTGAATCCTTGTGGTCTTGGTGAAGAGCTTGCCTAGTGTAGTTTGCTAAGGTTGTCATGGCAACATTCCAAACACTGGGTGGGTTGACACAGAAATTACTTTTCTCACAGTTCTGCAGGCTATAGGTCTGAGACTGAGATGTCTACAGAGCTGGTTTCTCTTCTTGGCTTATAGATGCCCATCTCTTCCACAGGTCTTCACGTTGGTCTTTATATGAGTCTGTGTCCTAATCTCTCTCTTTTTAAAAAATTTATATTTAATCACTGTATAACTTTATAATGTACAAAATGGTTTTTCTTGTGTGAATGCAGTGCATAGTAGTCAAGTCAAAGATGTTACCATATGCATTATCAACAGTTAAACTTCTCATTTTTGTGTCTGTTAAATGTTTTCTTACCCCTGATCCCTTCCTTCCCACTTCCTATTACCCAACCCTCCCATATATCTCAAGTATTCAGTTTCCTTCCCTACTATTAGATCTTCCAATCTTTCACTTTCTACTGTAGAGTGTAGACATTCAGTATATATTAAGAGGGGGCATACAATGTCTGTCTTTCATAGTCTGGCTTGCTTTGCTTAACATTAACTTTTCCATATTTATCCACTTTGTATCAAATGTAAGAGTCTGATTTTTTTGTTGTTTATGGCTGAGTAGTATACCATAGTGTCTAGGTGCCACATTTTTTCAATCTATTCATCTGCTTTTGAACATTTGAATTAATTCCATGTCTTAGCAATGGTGAAAAATGCTGCTGTAAACATGGGATGTGCAAGTGTTTTTCCAACCGAGTGTCTTTTTATTCTTTGAGTAGGGACTCAGGGGTGGAATTATTGGGTTGTATGGTAATTCTACCTGTAGGTTTTTGAGGAATCTCCATATCGTTCTCTACAGTGGCAGTACTAAAATAATATAGTTTGATAAAAACATCAGTTAGATTAAGGAACACCTTACTCAGCTCATTTAAATTCATTTAACTCTTTAAAGACCCTGTCTCCAAAACAGGTTAAAATTTTGAGGTTCAGAGGTTTAGGACTTCCACACAAAATTTTTTTGGGGGATGGACATGGTTCAGCTCATAACAGTCGATGTCACCTTTTATTTCCAGTCCTAATTTTTGAAATGCAATGATATAAGGGGGAGTAAAACAAATTTGTAGAAGAATGGAATGAAAGCAGGAATTAATTTTGGTGCAAGAATAATTTGAAATCCACGAGTAGTTTTTGTTTTTTTTTCCCCCTTGTACACAGTTTCCATGCACGTTTTGAAAAACCCCCTTATCTACATCAGTCCATAGTCTGGATTAAGATTTTAGAGAGGGCAGCAGATACCCATAGACAATCACCCAGATGCTTTGTCAGCTTGATTCTGTTCATAAAACTATCAAATATTTAATACATTTTCAAAAAACAGCAGGAAAAAAATGTAACAAATTCCGAATGTCTGCACTCTATGGTAGAAACTGTAAAATTGGAAGGCATAAAAGCATGGAAAGAAACTGTGGATACCAGAGACAGTCTGGGAGGAGGGCAGGAAATGGGGCAGGGAGAGGTAATCAAGGGGAAAATAAATTCGACAGGCCAAGAAAAGGAAAATTAACTGTTGATGATAATGTGTATGGTAATTTCTTTGACTGGACTAACATACAGGGTTTTCATACTGGGAAAATTCATTTTCAATGTTGTAAAATATGCACTGATGGAATGTATAAATAAAAAAGTAATAACATGAAAAACAAAAATATATATGACCCTCATCCCACAGTTTGCAAATGTTGGCATTCTATTTCATCTTTAGGTCTTTTCAATAAAATGCAAAATTATAGATACACAGAAGGCAGTTTTATTATCTTCCTGAACCTTCCTCTTCTTTTCACAAAGACAATACAGTACCTCCCAAGCATGGGGTTTTATTGTCTATGTATAAATCCATATAAGATACAATGTCATTTCCACAATATCAGGGGACTTCAAAAAGCTAAAGCATATTTTGCGCTATAGAAATGTACAATGATTGGGGACCAGCAGATGGTGTAATGCTTACGTCGCTGGACTCCTATGTAGTCTATTGCAGTTCAAGTCCCGGACCCAGCAGCTTAAAAATCACGCAGGACACATGTGCATGCATACTCAACAAAATGCCAAGAGGAGAATGGAGTAGAAGGGATTGTGGTGTGGATATCTCCCCTGGGCAGTGGGTGCTTTCTGGCTTTCTGTCTCTCTGTCTTTCTAGCGAGCACACATGCCCTATAGCAAAAATCTTTCTCAAAAAAAAAGTACAATGATTGAATGTAAGTAACAATACATAAAGAAGTTGATGAAAAGAAAATTAACGTGCAAGAGGTCTTAAAAACAGTTCACTGAAATGTATATTATGAAAAATATACACAAATTTCAACTTTTTACACCAAAATAAACTTGCACTTTAATTCCATTTTCCATGAACTGTTTGTTATAAGTACCCTCATGTAAGGTTAGTTTGGTCCAAAAACTCCTTCATGATCTCCCCTGGGGGATGATTTCTGCATTTCCCTCACACTGTCTCACTCTCTCTCTCTCCTGTCCAGTGAGCACACACACCGTATAGCAAGAACCTTTTTATCTATTTTTTTAAAAAAGTAATTATAGCCAGGCATTAAAATACTAGACAACAGAACCCAAAAGACTTCCACAGTATCAAACTTAGAGATCAGTCAAAGATTTGCTTGCCAAGTTTTGCTTTTCATTTTTTAAAATTCTTTTTGTTAAGAATTATTTATTTAATTTTATTTATTTATTTATTTTCAATTTGACCAGAAAGAGAGAGGGAAAGCAAGATGCAAGTCACCCAGTCTAGGACTCAAACTGCAATCGACCATGTGAGAGTCCACCCCCAACCACCCTGCCACCTTCCAGCCTGCTTTTATCATTCTTTAAAAAACAGAGTGTGCCTCTGTTCTGTAGAGGGTATTTAATATAGTGTTCTGGGTTAGCAACCTTCTGATTAGATTCTTCTGAAGGTGGGGGATTAGGGGTAGGGGCGGCTTCCACTTTTATAGTCACCATTTTAGATCAATCTCAAAATGATGACATTCTTATAACAACTCTGCCACCTAAGGACCAATCAATTGTTTTTTTTTTTTAATCTAAAACAGAGTGTCAATAAAATGTGGGCCAATAAAGGGAGTGAAAAGACGAGGAAAAGTGAAAGAAGGATGGAGGAAGAGAGTAAGCAGAAAGGTACAAGAGGGCATCTAATTATTACATGTTAATGGAAATATTTTAGAAAGAGTGCATGTAACAAGTGAATGGGTTATAAAATATTATAGCAAAATAAAGAGCATTGGTGATAATTTTTATTTTAAAAATAGAGAGGTAAAGCACTAATAGGACAAAGAAATGTGGTATTATCTGTTGAACATAATTTTTTTTCTTTTTTTTTTTTTGGAGAGGTTTTTGCTGTAGGGCGAGTGCATTCGTCAGAGAGACAGATAGAGACAGAGAGACAGAGGGTGAGAAATCACCTGCCAGGGGGGATGGCCATGCCACAATCCCTTCTCCTCCATTCTCCTCTTGGGAACTTGAGCACGCATGCACACGCGCCCAGCGTGAGTTTAAGCCACCAGGTCCAGGACTCGAAACCGCGGTCGACTACATGGGAGTCCAGTGACATAGCCATTACGCCAACTGCTGGTCCCCTGTTGAACATAATTTTATAGTTTATCAACTGACTAGGGAGAAATGTTCACATGTTGGAATATTCACTTTGTAAGCTAAATAATGTGATCGAATGTATAAAAGAAAATGAAATAAAAAATATAAAAAATTATATAATTAATTATTATTTCACTTGCTATAGGACAAGTGCACTCACCAGAGAGAGATAGAGAGAGAAAGTGAGAAAACCAGCTACCTGATCTGGAACTCAAACCATGATTAACTAGATGGGTCAAGCTTCTTAACCACCACACCACCTGCTGACTCTTTTTTTTTTTTTTTTTTTACTTTTAATTATGTTTAGGTTTTTGCCATAGGTCACTCATACTCACTTGAGAGAGACAGAGTGAAGGAAAGTGAGAAATCACCCCCAGGAGGGATGACTACGCTCAGTCCCTTTTCCTCCATTCTCTTCTTGGGACTTTGGGCACACATGCACACATGCCCGGTGTGATCCTCAAGCTGCTGGCTCTGGAACTCAAACCGTGTTTGGCCATGTGGGAGTCCAGTACCTAACTGCCACTCCACCTGCTGGCCCCATGACAATTTAACGTTTATTTCCAGATTACCAGTACAGTGAATTTCCAATGTGCACACACAAAGCGATGGTAAGTGTTAAAGACGGTTTATTTCCCTGGTTTGATTATTACACATCGTACACGTGCCTTGAAAAGCCACACTGTATCCAATCCAGGTGTACAACTACTATATGTGAATCAGAAGTTACAATGATAATTATTATTTTAACATTTTTAAAGAAACTAAGCAGAGTAAAAACTTCGATGTTCGGTTGAGTTTACAATACACATGAGAAAGGCTCTTTGAAAATACAGATTTTTAAAGTATTGGTTCTCACACTTTTGTGAGAACTGTCTGGGTCTTGCTCTGTGGCCTGGTGGTTAAAGCAGCCAGATCCCACATGGCCAACCCAGAGGTTCAAGTCCTGGACACAACAACTTGAGAATACACTGGATGTGTGTGCAGTATGTTCAAAATCCGAAAAGGAGAAAGAGTTGGAGGAGAAAGAATTGCATGACCGTGTCCCATAGAGGGCGCTATCTCCTTTCCCTCTATCTCTGTCTCTCTGTCTCTGTGTCTTTTTCTGGTGAGCACACACCATCTTTAGGGAAAAAAAAAAGGCGGGGGCGGGGGGAGAAGTCATCCAGAGACCAAGAATGTTGTTATCTTTTTGCCCCATCATTCCCATCAGAACCCTCAAGAGCATGGACCCCAGAAACCAAACAGATGTCTCTGAATTCCGTCTCCTGGGACTGACCCAAGATCCGGAACTGCAGCCCCTCCTCTTCAACCTGTTCCTGTCCATATATGTGGTCACCGTTCTGGGCAATCTGCTCATCATCCTGGCCGTCATCTCGGACTCTCACCTGCACACCCCCATGTACTTCTTCCTCTCCAACCTGTCCTTTAATGACATCTGCTTAAGCACCACCACGATCCCAAAGATGCTGGTGAACATCCAAACCCAGACTCAGAGCATCACCTACCTGGGTTGCCTCACCCAGGTCTGCTTTGTCTTGACTTTCGTTGGCCTGGAAAACTTCCTCCTTGCAGCAATGGCCTATGACCGCTACGTGGCCATCTGCCACCCCCTGCAGTACATGGTCATCATGAACCCCCGTGTGTGTGTCCTGCTGGTTCTAATCTCTCTGCTCACGAGCATTGGGAATGCCCTGCTCCACAGTCTAATGCTACTGCAACTGTCCTTCTGCACAGAGCCAGAGATCCCCCACTTCTTCTGTGAACTTGGTCAGGTCATCAAGCTCACCTGCTCTGACATCCTCATCAATAACATCCTGATCTATTTGGCAGCTGGTCTGTTTGGTGGTATTCCTCTGTCTGGGATCATTTTCTCTTATATCCAAATAGTCTCCTCTGTCTTGAGAATGCCATCAGCTCGGAGGAAGTACAAAGCCTTTTCCACCTGTGGCTCGCACCTCTCTCTTGTTTCCTTGTTCTATGGGACGGCTTTTGGGGTGTACATCAGTTCTGAAGTTGATGACTCACCCGGGAAGACGGCAGTGGCATCGGTGTTGTACACTGTGGTCCCACAGATGCTGAACCCCTTTATCTATAGCCTAAGGAACAAGGACATGCACAGAGCTTTGAGGAAAGTCAGCGGGAGGGTATTCTCTCTTTTATGATGTGTTGTCTGCTCCCAGCTCAGGCTTCTAGAAGGATTCTATATTTATTTTTATGTTTATCTTCAGAATTTTGTTTTATTATTATTTTGTTCCCATAGGGTATGTGTGCTTGCCTTGGAGAGAGGGTGAGAGGGAAAATGAAAAATCATTCCCCAGAGGAGATGGCCATGCTGCAAACCCTTCTTACATTCTCATCCTGGGATTTTGAGCATGTACGCACATGCTCCCAGCTTGATTTTTCAAACCACCGAGTCCACAACTAGAAACGTGGTCAACTATATGGGGGTCCAGCACCTTAACCACTATGCCACCTGCTGGCTATAGAATTTAATTAATTTATTTATTTGTCATAAGGCATGTGCACTCAGCGGAGAGACAGAGAGAGACAGTGAGAGGGAGAGTGAAACATCAGTCCCCAGGTGGGATGGCCACACTGTAATCCCTTCTCCTCCATTCTCCTCCTGGGATTTTTGGTATGCATTTACATGTTCCTGGTGTGTTTTAAGCTGCCAAGAGCAGGACTTTGAACAGTGGTCAGTCATGTGGGAGTCTAGTGCCTTAACCACCATGCCACCTGCTGCCATCCCCAAATTTTATTTTAAAGACATTTTTCTGGCATAACATAATGTCCATGGTACTCTTACTAAACATCATTTATAATGGTAAAGTTATTTCCCCCCCTCCTATATTATTAACCACATTCTTCAAACGTACAGAATGCAGAAATCAAACAGGTGCTTTAGAATTTCTTCTCTTAGGACTGACAGAAAATCCAGAACTACAGCTCCTCCTGGTCTACCTCTTCCTGTCCATGTACCTGGTCACCATCCTGGGCAACCTGCTCATCATCCTGGCTGTCAACTCTGACTCCCACCTGCACACCCCCATGTACTTCTTCCTCTCCAACTCCTCTTTTATTGACATCTGTGTAAGCACCACCACGACCCCAAAGATGCTGGTGAACATCCAGACACAGAGTTAGAGCATCACCTACCCGGGCTGCCTCACCCAGGTCAGCTCTGTCATGGCATTTAGTGGCTTAGCAAACTGTCTTCTTGCAGTGATGGGCTAGGACCGCTATGTGGTCATCTGCCGTCTGCTTAGGTACATGGTCACCATGATCCCAGCCTCTGTGTCCTGCAGGTGCTAGTTCTCTGTTCATCAGCATCGCAGATGCCCTGCTCCACACTCTGATGGTATTGCAGCTGTCCTTCTGCACAGACCCAGCGATCGCCTACGTGTTCGGGAACTGGCCAAGGTCCTGTTCCGTTACCCTCCTCAATGACATCTTGCTATATTTGGTGACTGGTCTGTAGGTTGGTGTGCCGCTTTGGGGGATCATTTTCTCGTATACTCAGTCTCCTCTGTTTTATTTATTTATTTATTTTTTATTTATTTATTTATTTATTTATTTATTTATTTATGGAGAGTTTTCTGTTACAGGGCATGTGCTTTCACCAGAAAGACAGAGATAGAGACAGAGAGTCAGAAAGGAAGAAATCAACCCCCAGGGAAGGATGGCCATGTCGCAATCCCTTCTTCTCCGATCTTGGGCATGCATGCACACGCACCTGGCGTGAGTTTAAGCCACCAGGTCCAGGACTCAAACCGTGGTCGACTGAATGGGAGTCCAGCAACACAGCCATTATGCCAACTGCTGGTCCCAGTCTCCTCTGTTTTGAGAATACCATCAACAGGGGGAAAGTACAAAGCCTTTTCCACCTGTGGGTCTAGCTCATGGTGGTTATTCTGTTCTAGGGACTGGCTTTAGGGGTGTACATTGGTTCTGCAGTTACTGAGGCTTCCCACAATTCTGTGGTGGTTTCTATGTTGTATATTGTGGTCCCTCAAATGATGAACCCCTTTATCTACAGTCTGAGGAACAGGGGGATGAAGGGAGCCTTGAGGAATCTCTTTGCTGGGGCTGGCACACCTTCTGGACCATGGCTGTGTCATCTGCTGTCAGCTCAGGTGTCTTGAGTGAGCTGAACGGACAGAAATAGAAACAAGAATGCCTCACCCTTATGACACCACGCTCTCCTGAAAAGATGAGATAATGGGTGAATATACTTCACCTTGGACTTGAGACCATACTTTGCTTTAGATCTATGTGAAAGTTGAAAAGTGATTTCAGTCAGGAAAGATCCTTTTATTGCTCAGCTTAGACACATGCAGAGCCTAAGGTGGATGTTCTGTTTTAGTCATTTGTTTACGGATCTGTCTCAGAGGAAGGAAAGGTGTAGAAGGTAGACAGTGCAGGGAAAGGATTCAGAGAGGTCATGGTCACTCCAGAGACTCACGTGTGATCACCAGAGAGAGACAGAGAGACATAGAGACAGGGAGACAGAGGGGCAAAGTGAGAAAGCAAGCCTCTAGGTCCGGGACATGAACTGCGGTTGGCCATGTGGGAGTCCACGAGGGAGTCGAGGTTCGAGTACCAGATCTGGTGGCATGAAAATCATACTGAGTGCATGTGTGTGTGTGCCCCAAATGCCAAGAGGAGAATGATGAGAGGGCGTTGAGCATGGCCACCACATTGGGAGATCATTTCTCACTCCCCGCCCACTTCCTCTCAGTCTCTCTGGTGAGTTTAGGTGCCTTTATAGCAACTACTTCTTTTCCTAAGAATTATTTTATTATTAACAGTGGTAGTAGTATTCATTTGACCACAAAGAGATATAAGGAAAGCGAGAAAGCAAACTGTCAGGTCCTGGATTCAAACCATGGTCAGCCACATGGCAGTCCAGTGCCATAACCACCATGCCACCTGCTGGCCTGAGCAAAACCTTCTTAAAAAACTATCATTAAATGTTTAAAGGCCCACTCTGGACCTCTCACCCTGCTCTGACTGCAGTCTCCTTTACAGCAAAATCTCCTCAGAGGAGATCTCTATACTCCGTCTCCACAATTCTCCTCTCCCATGTTTTTCCGAGGTCTGTCCAGTCAGGCTGTAGGCCTACTTCTCATGGGGCAGGTTCATGGCTGCCTTCACCAATCACCAGTCAGGTCTCTACTCCTGAATTCCATGGTTAGATATCGAGGATATTCCAAATTCCTCCACCACACCGACGGTGAGCTTGGTTAGGTTCTTCCTGAACCCTTCTGAAACTCTCAGGTGTTCCAAGTCCTCAGTCATGAGGCTGGGCAGTGTTTGACTCCCGAGTTACCCCATGTGTCTCCCTAAAGAAGAGTTACCTCTGTCCTGTGGTAACTGCTCTCCTCCTGGGATATTCGGTCATCACCTGGAGAGGAAGAACACCCATGTTTACAGACATAGTTCATGGAGCCTCTTGGCTTTTGGCTGTTCATGATGTTGTTTGTGTTGGTTTTGGTACCTGGAAAATGCTATTTTATTTTTATATGTTACTGTTCTCTTTATGGTAAGTGGAAAAATTAAGCTTGTTTTCTAAGCTAATCCATGTCTTTGTATACCTTCTCTATTATTTATGTTTTTAATGTGAATGGAGTTAAAATGGGAATAAATTGGGGCCAGCGATTGGTGTGGTGATTAGGGCACTGGACTCTCACATGGCCAACTGCAGTTAGAGTCCCGAACCTGGTGGCTGACTTTCTTCCTTTCTTTCTCTCTCTCTCTCTCTTTCTCTCTCTCTGTCTCTTTCTCTGTGTGTGTGTGTCCTCTCTGGTGAGTGTACATGCTCTGGAACAAATTAAAAAATAATGATAATGGTAAATAAAATTAAATAAATAAAATTTTTTAAAAGTGGGGAATAACGTTATTACAATAGCCTATTGTTACAAGGCTCAAGTAGTGTATCTTGAAAATGATAAAGTCATATAGAAAGCATGATCATGTTTCAAAGTAAATCAATACATGTGAAAATATGGAAGTGCTTATATGTGAATGTTAACATGGATCACCATCTTCCCTTATGAAATGTTGCTCGAAATCTAAAATCCTATGGAAGTATGGTCAAGCTGTAGTCTACCACCTTCAGGTGCTTTTGTAATTGAATTAACAACTCCATTAAAAATGAAGAGCCAGACAGCCATCAGGAAGCTAAGGCGCTGGATCCCCTTGGCCAGCTGCAAGGTCTGAGTCCTGGACCTAGTAGCTTGAAAATCACACTGTGTGTGTGTGCGTGTGTGTGTGTGTGTGTGTGTGTGTGTGTGCACACGTTCCTGAAATCCTGAGAGGAGACTGGAGGAGGGATTGTGGTGTGGCCATGCCCCCTGGAGGGTGATTTCTCACTTTTCCTCTATCTCTGTGATGAGTGCATGAGCCCTATAGCAAAATCTAAAAATAAATGAATAAATAAATAAAAACAAAGGACTGGGCCAGCTATTGGCAGGGGGGGGTGTTAAGGGATCTGGATCCCATATGGCTGACTGAGTGGTTAGAGTCCCAGACATGGTGGCTTAAAAGAATCACACCAGTGCATGTGTACACATTTCTAACATCCCAAAAGGAGGGAGAGATGGAGGAGAAGGGACTGCAGTATGACCATCCCCCAGGGAAGGTGTTTTCTCACTCTCCATCTCTTCCCATCTCTCTTGAGTGTGTACATGAACTCTCTAGCAAAATTAAAAGAAGAAGAAGAAGAAGAAGAAGAAGAAGAAGAAGAAGAAGAAGAAGAAGAAGAAGAAAAGAAGAACCATAATCTCAGTTTACAGTGTCCTAATGTAAAGAAAAATGCACATTGGGGCCAGAAGGTGGTGTGGTGGTTAAAGACACTGGACTCCCACATGACCAACTACGGTTTGACTCCTGGACCTGGCGTCTTGCTTTCCCATTTTCCCTCTCTCACTCTACCCCTCTCTGGTCAAATTAAAAGAAAGAAAGGAAAAAAAAGAAAGAAAGAAAAAGAAGGAGAAAGAAAGGAAGAAAGAAAGAGAGAGAGAGAGAAAGAAAGGAAGAAAGAGAGAGAAAAGAAAGGGAGAGAGAAAGAAAGAAAGAAGAAAGAAAGAAAGAAAGAAAGAAAGAAAGAAAGAAAGAAAGAAAGAAAGAAAGAAAGGAAGGAAGGAAGGAAGGAAGGAAGGAAGGAAGGAAGGAAGGAAGGAAGGAAGGAAAGAAGGAAGGAAAGAAGGAAGAAAAAGAAATGTAGGGAGAGAAAAAGTTAAACAAAATAAAAGCTCTTTACTGAGCTTTCAGGTGGTATAGAGGTCAAGACAGCTGGGTCTCACAAGACTGACTGCAGTTCAAGTCCTGGACTTGGAGGCTCGAAAATCACGCCGGGCGTGTATATGTATGTGCCTCAAATCCTGAGAAGAGAATGAAGGCGAAGGGCTTGTGGCATGGCCATCACCCGTGGGAAGGGGGTTATTTTCTCACTTTGCCTCTCTCTGTCTTTTTCCAGTGAGCACACATGCTCTAAAGCAATACAAACAAAAAAAGAGCAAGGTATTCAGTGACTCTGAAGAAGAGATACTCTGAGTGTTTGCAAGCGTTTTGCATTTTATTCTATGTTAATTATTAATAATTTTATTGTTCATACCTGCATGAGAGTATCTCAAAAAGTTCACCAAAAATTGAATTAAAATATAAGCTTATTTTGGTGTAAAAACTTTTCAAATCCCTGAACAGTTTTCTCATAACATACATTTCTATGCACCTTTCGAGGACCCCTCATATATTGGGTCATCAGAAAAGTCATGATGCATTTTTGCATAGAAAAATACACCATGACTTTTTGATGACCCGGTATTTTCATACCTTAAATGGGAAGGAGGACCTCTGATATCGTGAAGGACATGGAGATGCCTTTCCTGGTAATTAAAACACTGCAATTTAATAGAGAAGCAGTATGTGTTATACGTTCACGGTTCGTCAAATGGAGCTGAGCACACCCAAAGGTGAGAACAGAGCACACCTGGTCTCTGGGTTCCGGGAATCAGCTAGCTTGAATCCTCTCTCCTATAGTCTTGATCTTTAAGGATGGGCTCTCCTGGGATCAGAGTGATAGCAAAGTAGCTGGTGTAATGAGGAGCTTTGGATATTGAGCCTCCAGGGAAATAGAGACTGCAGAAATCACCCTGTGACCGTCTCGCTCAAGAGCCTTTGCCCATCAGGAAGCAAGCCCTGAGCCTTCTGCTTGAGAGGATGATTCCCAGAGACTCCCCTCATTCCCTGAGGCTGGACCGTCCACCCTGAACACGCAGGTGAGGTGCTGAGCATTGGTCCTGTTGAAGCTCATCAGTAACCTGAAGCCCCTTGTTACTGCTGTAGAAATGAAAGCAGGTGTTTCAGTGGAATTTCATCCTGGGAAAGTCAGGAGGGGACTACATGCCTGAAATGACCAGAAACTAGTCCCCCATGAGCCTCCTGACTGCTGCTTGTCACCCTCTTGATGTGTTCCATGTATGTTTGCACAGAAGCTCACCCAGATCCCATTCTTCATTCTTCAGAGTTCTCTCTTTCTCTCTCTGCAGTGATGGGACACATTTTCCTTCTAAGAAGAAATCTCCTTCTCAACACGATGACTGCTATAAAATATTCTGATATTTACTAGTATTCTTTTTTTTCCCCTTTTAATTTGTTTATTTACATTAATTCACTATACAACATTACAGCATACAAAATGAATTTTCCATCCAAAATACACTGTACATTGGCCCAATCAAGCACATCAACATACGTGTTATTGACAATTTTCCATTTCTTATGTCCTGTATATTTTGCCTTTTTTTTTTTGCCGTCCTTGATTCCCTATCCCTCACCCTCTGCCATGTCCCTCCCTCCTCCCACACTGTCTCTGGTATCCATGGTTGCTTTCTATGCCTTCCCCCCATTTAATTGATTTGCTAATGAACTTAGTCTAAATATTTCCAATAGCAAGCACAACTGATATATACCTATACATGAACACCTGTTTGACTTTAGGCATAAACCTCAGTGAGTAGAATGAACATACTATAAAGTAGTACCTAGCTGGGTCTATATAGCTTACTGTAGTCACCAAAAATGCAGTATTTTTTAAATTTCGATAAGAAGAGTTTAGTGTTTTCTTTTTCCTCCTGAAACTTTTTTTTAAAATTTACATTCATTCCCTGAGCATCATTACAACATACTAAATGTGGTTTCCCATCTAGAATAAACTGCATAGTGGCTTAATCATGCATGTTATCATCAATAATATTCCATTTCTACTTTCATATATATATATGTGTGTGTATATATATGTGTGTATATATATATATGTGTGTGTGTGTGTATATATATATGTTTTTTACCCCATGTCTGACCCTCTGCCCTATTCCACTCTCTTATTACACTATCTCTGCTGTCTACAGTTGTCTTCAATTCCTTTTCCCCCAAAATTTTGTTGATCACACACTATCATAAGTAATCTAACTACTTTCAATAGCAAATTCAGCTGGTAATTTCAAGAAAAACAGTTTGGAACTGGTAAGGATATTTCCTTGAAACGTAAAGCCCAGAAACAGGTTAGTATTCTGTTCAAATAGTAGGTACATGAATCTATTGACAGCTCAGGACAGGACAAAAATCCTTAAAACTGGACAACAAAGCTTAGAAGAAAAGCAGTAATATTTTAGTCAAGTCACAGAATGCTGTTTCATCAGTTCAGTCTCATGTACCTAATCTTTCTTCTGTTGTGGTTCGATCTTCCAGATTGAATTCTGGGATATAATATTCAGCTCCAGACTGTCCCTACAATTAAGTATTTACTAGTATTCTTGTAGTTGTGGTGGGGAGAGGTCTGGGTCAGTATATTCATTTTCCAAACTGCTGTAAGAAAGTACCAACGTGGGGCTGGCAGGGGGCATGGTGGCTAAGGTACTGGATTCCCACCTGCCCAACTGTGGCTCGAGTCCTGAACCTGGCAGCTTGTTTTCTCACTTTCCCCTTCTCTCTCCCCTCTTGGTCTGTCTTTGGTCATATTGAAAATAATAATGATAATAAATAATAAATAAAATTTTTAAAATAATTTTTTTCAAGTACAAAATACGGGGTGGCTTGACAATATGCACTTTTTTTTTTTTGGAGAGGTTTTTGCTATAGGGCACGTGCGCTCGCCAGACAGACAGAGAGAGACATAGAGACAGAAAGCGAGAAATCACCCCCCAGGGGGAATGGTCACGCCGCAATCCCTTCTCCTCCATTCTCCTCTCGGGATCTTGGGCACGCATGCACACATGCCCGGCGTGAGTTTTAAGCCACTGGGTCCGGGACGCGAACCGTGGTTGACTACGTGGGAGTCCAGCGACATAGCCATTACGCTAACTGCTGGTTCCCAACATGCACTTATTTTTGAGAGGAAGGGAATCAAGGGGGGGAAAATAGGCAAAACATTTAAGGGAAACAAAAATGGAAAATTATCTGTTGATAGTAGCATGTGTGATAATATCTTTAACTGGACTGCTATACAGTGTAGTCTCTTTTTTGGGGGGAGGGGAGAGTTTTTTGATATTGGGCATATGTGCTTTCCAGAGAGAGAGACAGAAAGTGAGAAATCACCCTACAGAGGGAATGGCCATGCTGCAATATTTTTTCTCCGTTGGCCTCTTGGGATCTTGGGCACGCATGCACACACGCACGGAATGAGTTTAATGCCTTGGCTCAAGGACTTGAATCATGGTTGACTCCATTGGAGTCCAGCAACGTAACCATTACACCATCTGCTGGCCCCAATAAATGTGTATTCTTGCTGGGGAAGGTCATTTTGCATGCTGTAATTATATACAGTGATTGAATGTATAAAAACAATTTTAAAAAATTAATAGAACCAAACAAGAAAAACCAACATGTATTTCTTTTCTCATAATTCTGGGGAGAAGTCTAAGGTTCACGTGTTGGCAGAATTGTGTCTTCTGACGCCCTCTCCCTTGACTTTCCAATATCAGGCTTCTCTGTGTGTCTTGAATGGTCATCCCTCGAGGGGTGTCTGTGTTTTCATCTCTTCTTATATGTAAGCAGTCATTTGGGTCACCCTAATGACCTCGTTTTACTTAGTTACTTTTTCATTGAAAAAATTATTAGTACTAAACTGGGAGTGGCCTCAAATTTTCCCATATGGGGTCAGCAGATGTCATGGGGATTAAGGCTCTATACTTCCACATGGCTGACTGTTGTTTGAGTCCTGGAGCAGGTGGTTTGAAACTCCTGCCAAGTGCACACCTGTGTGTGTGCATGCCTGAAAACCCATGAGAAGAATGGAGAAGGGATTGTGTCATGGCCATTCCCCCACCCCATGTGGTGATTCATCTCTGTCTCTTTGTCTCTCTCTGTGTCTCTGGTGAGTGCATGTACCCTAAAGCAAAACTCTGAAAAAAAATTCCCAAGTAATGCTGCTTCTGGTGGTTCCTATGTTTCCCTCATTATCCTTTCACACCATCTTCTCCGCCAGATTCAGTACCACCATCAATGACATGGAACCCGAAAACCAAACAGCTATCTCAGAATTCCTTCTTCTTGGGCTGATGGAGAATCCAGGAATTCAACCTTTCCTCTTTTGCATGTTCCTGTCCATGTACCTGGTCACCGTCCTGGGAAACCTGCTCATCATCCTGGCCATCATCTCGGACTCCCACCTGCACACCCCCATGTACTTCTTCCTCTCCAACCTGTCCTTGGCGGACATCTGCTTAAGCACCACCACGATCCCAAAGATGCTGGTGAACATCCAGACACAGAGTCAGAGCATCACCTACATGGGCTGCCTCGCCCAGGTCTGCTTTGTCTTCATTTTTGGTGGCTTGGAAAATTCTCTTCTTGCAGTGATGGCCTATGACCGCTATGTGGCCATCTGTCACCCTCTCAGGTACCTGGTCATCATGAACCCCTTCCGCTGTGTCCTGCTGGTTCTAGTCTCTCTGCTGAGCAGCACTACAGACGCCCTGCTCCACACTCTGATGTTGTTGCGACTGTCCTTCTGCACAGACCGGGAGATCCCACACTTCTTCTGTGAACTGGCCCAGGTCTTGAAGGTTGCCTGTTCGAATACGCTCCTGAATAACATCTTGCTATATTCAGTGTCTGGCTTATATGGTGGTGTGACGCTATCTGGGATTATTTTCTCTTATATTCAGATAGTCTCCTCTGTTTTGAGAATACCATCAGCAGGGGGGAAGTACAAAGCCATTTCCACCTGTGGGTCTCACCTCTCGGTGGTTACTTTGTTCTATGGGACAGCTTTAGGGGTGTACATTGGTTCTGCAGTTACTGAGGCTTCCCACAATACTGCAGTGGTTTCCGCGTTGTATATTGTGTTCCCTCAAATGATGAACCCCTTTATCTACAGTCTGAGGAACAGGGAGATGAAGGGAGCCTTGAGGAATCTCTTTGGCAGGTCTGACACACCTAAGTTGTGGCTGTGTCATCTGCTGCCAGCTCAAGTGTCTCGAGTGAGCTGAATGGACAGACACACAGACAAATAAGGATGTCTCACCCTTACGTCACCAGGCTCTCCAGAAAAGACGAGATAATGGGTAAATATCCTTCACCCTGGACTGGAGACTGGGCTTTGCTTTGGGTCTATGTGGAAGTTGAAAAGTGATTCCAATCAACCGATGTGCTCAGCTTAGACACATGCAGAGCCTAAGGTGGATGTTCTCTTTTAGTCATTTGTTTATGGATCTGTCTCAGAGGAAGGAAAGGTGTTCAGACACGTGGATTAATGCTGTTCTGATCTATTCAGCAGCATGCCTTTTAGGCAGTGTCTCTTTCTTTGGAATCATTTTCTCTTATCATCACTTAATCTCTTCTGTCTTTTTTTTTTTTTTTCTCCTTTTTTCTTTTTGTTTTTTTTTTTTTTTTAACAACATCTTTCTTTTGTGTGTGTGTGTGTGTGTGTGTGTGTGTGTGTGTGGAGAGCTTTTTCGCTATAGGACGCATGCGCTCGCCAAACAGACAGAGAGATAGAGTGACAGAAAGCGAGAAATCACCCCCCAGGGGAGATGGCCACACCGCAATCCCTTTTCCTCCATTCTCCTCTCGGGATACTGGGCATGCACGCACACACGCCCAGCATGAGTTTTAAGCCACTGGGTCCAGGATGCGAACCGCGGTCGACTAGGTGGGAGTCCAGCAACATAGCCATTATGCTAACTGCTGGTCCCAATCTCTTCTGTCTTGAGAATGCCCTCAGCTGGAGGAATGTATAAAGCTTTCTCCACCTGCGGGTCTCACCTCTCAGTGGTGTCCTTGTTCTATGGTGCAGCTTTTGGGGTGTACATCAGTTCCTCAGTTGTTGACTCTCCAAGGAAGACGGCAGTGGCTTCAGTGATGTATACTGTGGTCCCTCAAATGATGAACCCCTTTATTTACAGCCTAAGGAACAAGGACATGAAGGGAGCCTTGAGGAAACTCAACGGTAAGAAAGTTTCTCTTGCATGATGTGTCATTTGATTTGGATTTGCTTTCTTTGTTTATTTATTTGTTTTAGGTTTTGCTATAGGGTGTGTGTGCTCACCAGAGAGAGTCAAACAGAAAGAAGAGGGTAAAGTGAAAAACCACCCCCATCCTGGGAGATGGCCACACCACACTCTGTTCTACTCCAACCTCCTCTTGGGATTTTGAACACACACACACACACACATGTGCCTGGCATGAATTCCAAGCTGCTGGGTCAGGGACTTGAACTTCACAGTCGACCATATGAGATTCAGCATCTGAACCTCCATGCCACCTGCTGGGCCCTGGACTTAGATTTCTACAGCAAATCAAAGTGACAAATTCCTTGGTGAGCCAGTGTCAGACCCTCCTGTTTCCACAAACTTCAAAATGACTAGGTGACATAAAGGCTGAATACATGTCAACTCAGGCTGAAACCTGACCTTGTGTTTGAATCTAAATCTGGGACATGTGACAAATGATTCCATTTTTATAAACTCGATTTCTTGGCTCAGGTTGTGGGATCAGCACCTGAGACAGGGTTTCTGGCTTTAGAGTTTTGTTTTTGTTTTTGTTTTAATCAGAAGCAGGAAAGTTGTAGAGAGGAGATAGATAAGGGCGAAGATTTTATTTTATTTTAAAATATTTATTGGGGCTGGTAGGTGGCATGGTGGTTAAAGGCACTGATTCCCACATAGGCACGTTCCCTCTCTCTCTGGTTGAATTGGAAAATAATAATAATAAACAAAGTTAAATAAAATAATTCTGTTTAAACATGTATTTATTATTGTTATTATTTTTAGAATTATTTATTTTAGGTTTACCTATCATTATGATTATTTTTCACTTTGCTGCCGTCGACTATGTAGGAGTCCAACAACATAACTATTACGTCATCTGCTGGACCCACCTCTCTTGCAATTTTATCATCTGATTGCGATGGTGGACACGTTTATTGTCCTGATGTGATCTAAACACACCTTGATGCAAAACATTAAAGAGACAAGTAACGATCGACTGTTTTAAAAAATAATTATAATAATAATAATAACGATTGGGGAAAACATAGAAAAGATATCGAATGTGGAAGCGGGGAGATTAATGTCTCTGTACTGACTGACTTGCAGGGCATTCCCTTTTGAAAAAGCAATGTAATACACTGTAAAGTTATATGTAATCCAATGTAATAGAAAAAAGATTATGATGATAATAAAAAAAAGAACAACAAAAAAAAACACATTAAAGAGACACAAAAACAGAAAATTATGTGTTGATGATAATATGTATGGTAATATCTTTGAATGAACCAATATATAGTGTAGTCATCATGATGGGGAAATTCACTTGGTATGTGGTAAGGGTACACAATTATTGAATGTAAAATAAATAAATCAATTTTAAAAATCCTGGCTCTATTTATAAACACACACACACACACACACACACACACCAAACCTCCAAATTCAGAACTAGAACCATGGTCAGCCAAGTGGGAGTCCAGTGCCCCAAACACCATCCACATGCCAGCCCCCATAAATACATTTTTTATACCCATATATATAATTTACATTTTCACATCTAAAAGTACAGTAGAATCAGGCTTCCAAGATGTCATTGTTTATACCTAAGGAAAGAAAACGGGGGCCCATGCAGAGAAAGACAGTTTATTCACATGTGTAAGGCTTATGAAATGGAGGCAAGCAGAAAGAGACAGAAGGAAATGAGGCACTGGGCTTCTCCAGGTAAAAGAGCCAGGTGTGCACAATTCCTTCCATTTAGGTGATAGTTCTTTCAGGAAGCACACTGCTCTGGGACCCCAATAACAAGAGAAACCCTTGTCTAATGAGGACCTTTGGATATTGAGTCCCCAGGGACACTCTGTCAGTCAGTACAGAGACAGCAAATAGTCTATCTGTGGCCAACTCACTCAGTAGCCCTCTCAGGTCAGCACGCAACACCTGAGGCTCCTCAAGGGATGATCCCACTGTATCGGAAGCCAGAGGCTTCACTCGTGTTCCCTGCCCTTCCTGAAGACATGTCTTCTGTGTCCCTCATTGAATATCCAGCAGAGATGCCAAGCATTATTCCACAATGATGCCAGCCAGGTAACCCAGTGTCTCTTAGACAATGCTTTGGAAAGGAGGGCAGGTGGGGATATACAATGCCTCTCTTTCACTGCAGTTTCATCCAGGTGAAGCTCTGAGTAAAGTCTATGTGGAAGATGATCCATATCAAGTCCCCCAAGGGATTTCTGAGTAACTGTCCATCTCGTCTTAACATGTCCTTTGGTATCTCTGTAAAAATATTCATGCAGCTTTTATTTTCTTCATCTTCTAGTCTGCCTATCTATGTGAAGGCACTTTGTAGTTTGAACCATTATCTATTAAAGATGGAATCACTTTCCTCTTGAGCATAAATAGCTTCTTGTCAACGTGATGCACTCGAACAAATCCTCTGGCATTTCTTCGAATTCTTGTGGTGCTGGAAGGGAGAGATATGATCAACTTCATGTATGTTATCTTCCCAATATTCTCCCATACATCATTCTTTTTTTTTCTTTTTGAGAGATTTTCGCTATAGGGTGCATGCACTCGCCAGACAGAGAGAGACATAGAGACAGAAAGCGAGAAATCACCCCCCCAGGGGGGATGGTCACGCCGCAATCCCTTCTCCTCCATTCTCCTCTTGGGATCCTGGGCACGCACACACACGTGCCCAGTGTGAGTTTTAAGCCACCGGGGTCCGGGACGTGAACCGTGGTCGACTACGTGGGAGTCCAGTGACATAGCCATTATGCCAACTGCTGGTTCCCTCCCATACATCATTCTTCAGAAGAACTTGGCCGTTCTTTCTGTTTCCTGGCTATGAGGACTTGGAGAAGGAAGTGTAGATCCAGGTAGACCTAACGGGCTAGCTGTTTAGTATACCTGCTCCTCTTTATAAAATTAAAGATTATTTTATATTCAAAGAATGATGGAGGGCTGGGACCAGCTAGTGGTGTGGTGGTTAAGGGTGCTAAACTCCCAGATGTCCAACCACAGTTCAAGTCCCGGACCTGACGGCTTGCTTTCTCACTGCTTCTCTCTTGCTCTCTCTCGCTCTGTCCCTCTGTGGTCAAGTGAAATTAAATTAAATTAAATTAAATTAAATTAAATCATTCTTAAAAAAGAAAAGAATGATGTGGGGCTTGGAGGTGGTGTGGTGGTTAAACCGCTGGACTCCCACATGACTGTGGTTCAAGTCCAGACTGGTGGCTTGAAAATCACACTGGATGTGTGTGCATGAGGACCCAAGATGTCAGGAGGAGAATGGAGGAGAAGGGATTGCAGCATGGCCACCCTCCTTGACTAGCCATGTCTTACTTTCCTTCTCACCATCTCTCACTGACAAGCATGCACACCCTATAGTAAAAACAAAACAAAACAAAACAAAACCACTTAAAAAATAACAGAATGTACAGAAATCCCCATTCAGATTTGCATAATTCAATAAAACACCAAGTTGCAGTAAAATTTAAAAAAAGAATGGTGCAGATGCCCTAATAACACTATAACATACCACCTCTTGTCCCTTTTCATAATTATTAAAATGTTGACATTCTGTTATATCGGCTTCATTTCTTTTTAAACGTTTTTGTCTACATTTAGTCATTGCATGTTTTTACAGCATACGACATGGGTTCTTGAAGCATAAATGCATTGCACGTCAAGCGAGTCAAAGATATTATTGTACACAATGACTTTCCACTCTGTGTCTGCCCAATATTCCTGTTTTTCCCAGAGGCCCTCCCTGCCACCCCTAACTGTCCACCACTCCTATATAGTCTCTTGTACCTAAACTTACCATCTCTGCAAGTTATATCTTCCAATCTTTCCATTCTGCCATAAAGTTCAGATGTTCGGTGAATATTGAGTGGAGACATACAGCTTCATGTTTTTTCAAAAATATATGATTTATTGGGGTCAGCAGGTGGTGTGCTGATTAAGATGCTGGACTCCTACATGGCCGACCATGTTTCAAGTCCTGGACATGGTGGCTTTCTTTCTCAATTCCCCCTCCCCCTTCTGTCTCTCTCTTGTGAGCACACACGCCCTACAGCACACTCTTCTCTCTCTCTCTCTCTCTCTCTCTCTCTCTCTCTCTCTCTCTCTCGCAAGTGCATATGCCCCCTTGGCAATTAATAATCTTTTTAAAAGAATGTAAGCTTGTTTCCTATGTTCCTGCTTAATATATACCGAGGGTCTGCAGTCTGTGAAAGAAACTGAAGGACAGGAAGGTATACAAGTGGGTTGGGGGACAGCTGTAGATACAAGAGACAGTACAGGATGGGGTGGGCAGTGGGAGAGGAGAATCAGCGGCAGAAAGAACACTTAACAGACACAAAAAATGCACAGGTGGGGGCCAGCAGGTGGTGTGGTAGTTAAGGCAATGGATGGACTTCCACATGATTGATTGTGGTGTGAGTCCTGGACCTAGGAGCTTCCTCTCTCTCTCTCTCTCTGTCTGTCTCTCTGGTGAGCACATGTGCCTTATAGCACATTTTAAAATCATAATAACAATAAATTAAATAAACTTTTAAAATCTTTGTTGGTGATAATGTGTGTGGTAATAATGTCTTAGTCTAGGCTAATATGTACTGTATTCACAGTGGGGAAAATAACTTTGTATGTTGTAGGGATGTACAGTGATTAAATGTAAATAAAAGAATAATAATAATGAACCCATAAAGCACACACAGGGAAAAAAGCATGCAATAATTCTGATGGAATAATGTTACATCTTTTTATTTCATTCCCAGCACTTGCCAAACACAGTCCAGATGTGATACGATTTTGCATTGATGAAGTGTGTGAGGGAAGAGGAGGGAGAAGAGGAGGGGGAGGTGAAGGATAGGGGAGAAAGTAGGATTTGCATATCCACTTGGGTTTCAGGACAGGTGAGACTTTTTCTTGAGCAGCAATTCTTAAACTTTAGCATATAACAAAATGATCTGGAAAGGTCATTGAGACAGATAGCTTGGGGCCAGTAGGTGAGGTGGTGGTTAAGATCCTGGACTCCCACATGGGCAACTGCAGTTCGAGTTGCAGACTTGGCATCTTGCTTTCTCATTCTCTCTCTCTCTCTCTCTCTCTCTCTGTGTGTTTCTGGTGAGTGCATGTGCTCTGTAGCAAATTTAAAAAATAATAATGATAAATAAAATTAAATAAGTAATTCTTAGGAAAGAAAAAACAGATGGCTTATCGGGTCAGCCTCTGGAATGCTTGTTAAGGGGTTTGACCCCGTAGTTCAAGTCCTGGACCCAGCTACCTGAAAAACATACTGGGTGCATGTGTGTGTGCCCAAAAATCCTGAAAGGGGGTAGATTAAGGAGAAGGGACTGCAGTGTGACCATTCCCCATGAGGGTGCTTTCTCACTGTCCTTCTCTGTCTTTCCGGTGAGTACATGTGCCCTCTGTCAAAAATTTAAACTAAGAGAAAAAAAAAAAAAAAAACAGATGGTTTGTCATCATCCCAGAATTTAAAAATCAGTGAGTCTGGAGTGGAGCCCAATAATTTGTCATTATTTTTTGAGAATTATTTATTTAATTTTATTTCTACTTCTTCTTCAATTTGACTGGAGAGAAGCAGAGAGAAAGCAAGAGAGAGGAGGAGGGAGAAAGCAAGCTGCCAGGTCTGAGACTCAAACTGTGGTCAACCGTGTGGGAGTCCAGTGCCCGAACCATCATGCCACCTGCCATCCCCAGTAATTTGTATTTCTAACAAGGTCCCAGGTGCCATGGCTGCTGATACAAGGACCACATATTTTATTGTCTTGTCATCTGTATTCCAAATCCGATCATCAACAACATGGAATGCAGAAACCAAACAGGTCCTTCAGAATTGCGTCTCCTGGGATTGACAGACGATCCGGAACTGCAGCCCCTCCTCTTCAACCTGTTCCTGTCTGTATACCTGACCACCGTTCTGGGCAACCTGCTCATCATCCTGGCCGTCATCTCGGACTCTCACCTGCACACCCCCATGTACTTCTTCCTCTCCAACCTGGCCTTTACTGACATCTGTTTAAGCACCACCACGATCCCAAAGATGCTGGTGAACATCCAGACCCAGACTCAGAGCATCACCTACCTGGGCTGCCTCACCCAGGTCTGCTTTGTCCTGGCTTTTGTTGCCCTGGAAAACTTCCTCCTTGTAGCAATGGCCTATGACCGCTACGTGGCCATCTGCCACCCCTTGAGCTACACGGTCATCATGAACCCTCGCCGCTGTGTCTTGCTGCTTGTCATCTCTCTGCTCATCAGCGCTGGGGACGCCCTTCTCCACACTCTGATGCTGCTGCGGCTGTCCTTCTGCACAGACCCAGAGATCCCCCACTTCTTCTGCGAACTTGCTCAGGTATTCAAGCTTGCCTGCTCTGACATCCTCATCAATAACATTCTGATCTATTTGGCAGCTGGTCTGTCTGCTGGCATTTCTGCGTCTGGGATCATTTTTTCTTATACTCACATTGTCTCTTCTGTTTTGAGGATGCCATCAGCAGGGAGGAAGTATAAGGCTTTCTCTACCTGCGGGTCTCACCTCTCAGTGGTTTTCTTATTCTATGGGTCAGGTTTTGGGGCGTATATCAGTTCTGTGGTTTCTGACTCTCCCAGGATGACTGCCCTGGCCTCAATGATGTACGTGGTGGTCCCCCAAATGGTGAATCCCTTCATCTACAGCCTGAGGAACAGGGACGTGAAGAAAGCCTTGAAGACACTTATTGATAGGATGCCTTCTCTTCTGTAATTGTTTCCTGCTCTCAATGGCTCTGTGTTTGGTGGGGAAGGTGGAACACTATTGAAATAAATGCATCTATAAAATAAAATAACAAGAAAAATGGATAAAGTTTAAACTTGAAAAATAATTTGTATGTCTTGGTTCTTATTCTCACCCTTGTTCTGCTGAGATTCAATGAATTTGGGAAGTTTTGCTAGAAATTATTCAATTATTGGGACCGGCAGTTAGTGTAATGGCTATGTCACTGGACTCCCATGTAGTCGACCGCAATTTGAGTCCTGGACCCAGTGGCTTAAACTCACACTGGGCGCATGTACGTGCGTGCCCAAGATCCTGAGAAGAGAATGGAGGAGAAGGGATTACGGTGTGACCATTCCCCCTAGGGGGTGATTTCTTCCTTTCTATCTCTCTGTCTCTCTCTGTCTTTCTGGCGAGTGCACGCACCCTATAGCAAAAACCTCTCCCCCCCCCCAAAAAAAAAGAAAGAAAGAAAGAAAGAAAAAATTATTCAATTATTTTCAATACTCTCTGCTCTTCCCTCCTTTATTTATTTATTTATATTTTTGCTATAGGGCACATGTGCTCACCAGAGACAGACAGCAAGAAATTCTCTCCATGGCATTTGGCCATGCCACAATCCCATCTCTGCCATTCTCCCACTGTGATTTTGAACACACACATACATGCGCCTATGTGAGTTTTAAGCTGCCGGGTCCAGGACTCGAACTGTGATTGACTACGTGGGAGTCCAGCGACATAACCATTACACCTGCTGCTGGTCTTTCATTTATTTTTTTTTTCATTTGTTTGATTGTTTGTTTGTTTTTACCATGGGGCATGTGCACTTACCAGAGAGAGACAGAGAGAAACAGTGAGAAGGAAAATGAGATATCATTGTGGATTGGCCTGCCACAATCCCTTCTTCTCCATGGTCTTCTGTGGATTTGGGGCACACACACACATACTCCTATCAACATAGTCAAGTCTCCAGAACAGGGACTTGAACTGTGGTAGACCATGTGGGAGTCTAGCTCCTTGACCACACGCCATTGTTGGCCCCGATGTTCTCTACTTTTATGTCTTGTACGACAATGATGAAAAATAGGTTGCCTCTTTTCTAGGTCTCTTGGTTGTAATGAAATTTTTTCTATAAGGCATATGTGCTCACCAGAGAGAGACAGAGAGAGAGAGAGGGAAGGAAAGTGAGAACTCACTCCCTCCTCAAGGGGATGGCCACACTGCAATCCCTTCTGCACTCTCCTTTAGGGATTTGGGGTACTCCAGCACACGCACCTGGGATGATTCTCAAGCTGCTAGGTCCAGGACTCGAACCACACAGCCTGTCATGGGAGATCCAATTCCTTAACCTTGATACCACCTGCTGGCTCAGTGGTAATCAAGTTTTATACCTGGGAGTTACTTGTAAATAGTTTTTTATAAAAACTTAGAAAAAATATCTGCAGGTGACTACATGAGAGTCCAGCAACATAACCGTTACGCCCTCTGCTGATCCTGCTCAAGAATATTTTCATCCGTTAAATCGTCAGAGCACATACAAATGTTTCCATTCCATGGACACCATGACAAAGTAGTGGAAAAGTAAATTAGTTCAATCACTTAGAGAAACTCTTCAGGAAAACAAACAAATAAAGTATGCGTGGTGGTTAAGGGTACTATACTCCCACTCGGCCGACCACGGTTTGAGTCCCAGACCTAGTGGCTTGCTTTCTCATTTTCCCTCTCTCTCTCTCTCTCTTTCTCACTCTGTCTCTCTCTGGTCAAGGTATATAAAATAATTTAAAATAAAATAAAATCAAGTAAAAGGCCTACCTAACTCAGTCTAAAAAACTTACAGCACAGGTTTGGCAAGTGGTGTGGTGGTTCAGGGCACTGGACTCCCACATGGCCAACTATGGTTTGAGTCCTAGCCCGGGCAACTTGCTTTCTCACTTTCCCTCTCTCTCTCTCTCTCTCTCTCCCTGTGTCTCTCACTCTGTCACTCTCTGGTCAAATTAAAACAAATTTTACAAAGTTAAATAAAATAATTCTTAAAAAATAAAAGAACTTACAGCACAGAATAATAACTATAGGTAATGAGGATTCAATATCTATGTCAAAATGTCTAGGAGAAGGGCTTTTGAATGTTTGGAACACAAAGTAATGGTAAATATTTTAGATGATGGATATATATTTATTGCCCTGATTTTCTCATTACACGTCGTATGCATATATTGTAGCTCATCAATGTGTGAAATTATTATGTCAATTTAAATTATTAATTTAAAAGATGGGGAGCCTAAGACTAGTGAAGCTGCTCAGAAAGTCACCCACAGCCCGGGCTCCTTCCAGCCGTCTGCTCCACCATCTGTAGATTTTAGCTTTTTGCTTCATGGTCATAAAAAGCACCTACATGGACTAGCAGGTGGTGTAGTGGTAAAGGTGCTATACTGTCACATGGCTGACTGTGGTTCAAGTCCCAGACCTGGTGGCCTGAAACTCACACTAGGCGCATGGCATGCCTACCCAACATTCTGAGAGGTGAATGGAGGAGAGATGGCAGCATGGCCATCCCCTCTGGGGTGATGTCTCACTTTCCCTCTCTCTGTCTTTGTTCAGCAAGTGTACATGTCCTAGAGTAAACATCTCTCTCTCTCAAAAAAAAGAAAAGAATTATTTATTTTATGTTATTTCTTCTTCCTCTTCTCCTTTTCTTTTTCTCCTTTCCCTTTTCTTCTTCCCCTTCCCCTCCTCCTCCTCCTACTTTTTCTTCAATTTGACCAGAGAAAGAGAGAGAAGGAGAATGAGAAGGCAAGCCATCAGGTCCAGGAGTCAAACTGGGGTCAGTCATATGGGAGTCTAGCGCCTTAACCACCACTCAGCCTGGTGGCCCCAACTGCACTAATCGAAAATAAAATGAAGTAAAATAAAATAAAATAAATAAAATACAGGTCTTCTAGTTTGGTTCGTTTAAGTGATATATTAAACCACCTGAAATTTATTTTGATTTTGCCTTGGATATGGGACAATATTCCACATTCCTTTTTACATTCTAGCACTGTTTACTTTGTGAATATTTTTTCTGCACTCTTTTCTTTTTTTCAGAATTATTTACTTAGTTTTTGAAAGTGTATTATTATTGGGACCAGCAGATGGCATAATGTTTATGTTGCTGGTCTCCCATGTAGTTGAACTCAGTTTTAGTCCTGTATGCAGCAACTTAAAACTCACACTGTGGGGGGTGGAGACCAGCAGGTGGCATGGTGGTTAAGACACTGGACACTCCCACATGGCTGGCCATGGTTCAAGTCCTGGACCTGGTAGCTTGCTTTCTTGCTTTACCTCTCTCTCCCCCTCTCTGGTCAAATTAAATGAATGAATGAATAAATAAAATTAAATAAATAATTTTTAAAAAAACACAAAAAAAAAACCCAAAAAAACCTCACACTGGGCATGTGTGTGTGCCCAACATCCCAAGAGGAGAATGGAGAAGGAATTGTGGCTTGGTCATTCCCCCTTGGTGGTGGTGGTGATTTCTCACTTTCTGTTATTTTTAAATTTTCCTATAGGACTCACCAGAGAGAGACAGAGAGCAAGAGAGAGAAATTGAGAAAGCAAGCCACCAGGTCCAGGACTCGAACCGTGGTCAGCCATGTGAGTCTTCAGCACCTCCACCACCATGCCATTTGCTGGTCCCTGCACTCTCAAGTTTGTAACTATTTCTTCACTGTTCTATAGCTTAATCATTGTAGCGACCATTCTTTTCTGATCATTTCAATTTACTGTAGCAAAGTTGACAACTAACTCAATTTGAAATAAAGAACCACAGTTCAATTTAAAGTAGCCCAATGTGAAGAAAAAAGTACACTGAATGTAGGATGAGGAATTGGAAAGAAAAAAAACTATGAAATCCGGTAAAGGGAGTATGAGGTCTATCTGTATTGATGACAGTCAAAATTGATCACAAAAAATAAATTCGATTCTTCTTTGTAAAAAAAAAAAAAGACAGAAATTAAAATTCATGCAGGAGACACTGAATGTACTGAAAGATGAAACACCCCTGAATATTTGCATTTTACAATATCTTAGGCATATTTATAAATATATTTTATTATTACTACTTATTTTATTTTTTTCTTATGTTTTACATTCAATTACTATATGTTTTTACAACATAGAAATTGAATTTCCCCAGCATGAATACACTATATGTTAGTCCAGTCAAGAATATTATTTTATACATTGTCATCAACACATAAATTTCCACGTTTGTGTCCTTTAAAAGTTTTGCTTGGGACCAGTGTATAACATGGTAGTTAAGGCACTGGACACTCCCACATGGCCAAGCATAGTTTGAGTCCTGGATCTGGTGCTTGTTTCCTCACTTTCCCCCTCTCTGTTTCTCTCTCTTTCTGGTCAAATTTTTTTAAAAAAATGAATGAATAAAATTAAAAATAAATATATAAAAAAATAAAAGTTTTGCTTTGGGGGGACCAGCAGTTAATGTGTTGGTTAAGGTGCTGGACACTCCCACATGGCCAACGATGGTTCAAGTCCTGGACCTGATGGCTTGCCTTCTCACATTCTCTCTCTCCCTCCCTCTCTCTCTGTCTATGTGTGTGTGTCTCTGGTAAAATTAAAATAAATTAATGAATAAATAAAATTAAATAAATCTTTTTATAAGTTTTATTTCTCTTTTTTCCCCTTGATTCCCTCCTTCTCACCTTTCCCTAGTTCCCATCCTTCTCCCACACGGTCTCTGGTATCCACCATTACTCTCCATGTTTTACGCCTTCCAATCTTTCAGTTTTATACCCACGTATGTGTACTATATTTTCCCACTTCAAAATTAAATTAGAATTCCTGACTTCATTAATTACATAGAGCTGCCTTTGAAATTTTAAAAGAGAAGCCTACAATTCATTAGAGAAGGGACCTATGTACATCTGTGCCAGGTGCATTAAATGGACATAGAAATGAACAAAAATGGCTGGGGAGAACAGACCAGGCCTCAACAGCCTGGGAATCCACGACCTTGAATTCAATTCTTCTATAGTCTTGGTCTCTAAAGATCCCACTGCCCAGGGAGCAGCAGACGCTAACGTTGTTTGTCTAATGAAGAGCTCTGGGTATTGAACCTCCAGGGACAGAGAGATGAGAAGAGGCAGCCTGTGACCACCTCACTCAGCAGCCCTTGTGAGCCACATCTGAGCCTCCTTCTAGGATGATCCTTCCTGAGCAGGAACCCGAGGCCCCGCTTGCTGTGTCTGCCCTTCCTGAAGACAGGTCCTCTGTCTCCAACATCCAGGTAAGATGCTGAGTGGGATTTCTTTGTTAAGCCAGCCAACAAACCGGAGGTCCCTCAGACAATGCTTTGGAAACACGGGCAGAAGTGAGAATAGAAAAATGGCAGAAGGAGTCAGATGAAGGAAAGAACCAAAAATTCATCTGGATTCACGACATTGAAGAGTTCTCTGTCATGAGTTTGCAAACTTCAGAGTAGGTCAGAATCATGTAGAATCTTATTAAAACAATGATAGGCTCATCCCTGGAGCTTTAGCTTCATTAGTTAAGACTGGGATATGACCCCAAAATTGACATTTCCCTTTTTTGTTTGTTGGTTTGGTTTGTTTGTTTTTTTTTTTTTTTTTTTTTTTTTTAGAGATTTTGGCTCTCACCAGAAAGGCAAAAAGTGAGAAATTGACCCCCATCGGGATGGCCATACCACAATCCCTTCTTCTCTATTCTCCTCTTGGGATTTTGAGCACAGACACACACACACACACACACACACACACACACCTGGGGTGATTTTTTTTTTAATTGTAAAACCAGGCCACTTTAATGTTTTTGTACAATTTAATAAATAATCTTTTGATGACTGCTGACATGTAAGACCGGCTATATTGAGAAACATCAGTCATGATGGTTTTCCAGATGGTGTATCATCTTCAAAATTAGAAGGAGTTATTTGTATGCAACTGCTATCAAACCAGTAAAACAGCATTTATACATCCATCATTTTCAGGATTGTTGGTAACTTGGGCATATTTCCCCCAAATAACCTTGCCTCCTTGTGTCACAAGGCCCAGCTCACTCACGTTCACCTCAATGACAGTACCTTTGGTGATAACACCTAAAGTTGTATATAGTGGGGATGAGGGATTCTTCTTTACACCGAGTATTGGCAGGCAAAAGGTGGCTTTCAGTTCAGGATGTGTTACATGGGCCTTCTTGAAACGTAAGCCCATTGGCCTAATGAATCTTTCATATGTAGGTGGTTTTCTAGTAAAGCCTCTCCAGCAAAGCAGACTTCGGTAACCATCCTCTTCCATGCCTTCTTCTTTCTCTTTCCTGTTCGAATAACTTTTAACACTTCTGTTTCTCCCTGGGCTCGAACTTTGGGTAGAGGGACTTCCCATGTTCCCACTTTCTCTTTCCATTTTTGTTTAATCATATTGGAAAGTACTTTAGCTCGGGACTGTCCTTCTCTGTCCAACAGATAGGCAGGTACTGCTCCTTGTGGAGTCTTTTCATCATTCTTCTGTTTGGTGTTCCTCTTTTCATGCATCTTGATAGTCTTTTTCATTTGTATTTTCTCAGCATGGCGCTGTTTATGATAGAGCTTAGCCTTCAGACCAGTCATCTTTTTTGCCTTCTTTGAACATTCATGAGCCTCCCGACTTTCCTTCGTCGCCGGGAGCAGCCTCCCGGACGCAAAGAAGTTGTCAACTTTCAGATCGCAGAGACCAACCACCTGGGGTGATTTTAAAGCTGCTGAGTCCAGGACTCAAAACGTAGTTTCCCATGTGGAAGTCCACCACCTGAACCATTATGCCACTTGCCAGCACCCAGGTTTGGCATTTCCAACCAAAACTCCAGGTGGTGCTGGTGGCGCTGCTGGTACAGGAATCATACATTTTATTGTCATGTCTTGTATATTTCATATCAGTTTCATCAACTACATGGAACTGAAAAACCAAACAGATGTCTCGGAATTCCATCTCCTGGGGTTGTCAGAAGATCCGGAACAACAGCCCCTCCTCTTCAGCCTGTTCCTGTCCATTTACCTGGTCACCGTCCTGGGCAACCTGCTCATCATCCTGGCCGTCATCTTGGACTTCCACCTGCACACCCCCATGTACTTCTTCCTCTCCAACCTGTCCTTTACTGACATCTGTATAAGCACAACCACGATCCCAAAGATGCTGGTGAACATCCAAACCCAGACTCAGAGCATCACTTACCCAGGCTGCCTCTGCCAGATTTTCTTTGCCCTGGCTTTTGTTGGTTTAGAAAATTGTCTGCTTGCTGTTATGGCCTATGACCGCTATGTGGCCATCTGTCACCCCCTGAAATACACGGTCATGTTGAACCCGCAGTTCTGTGTTCTGTTGATTCTAATCTCTCTGTTCATTAGCACTGCAGATGCACTGCTCCAAAGTCTGATGGTGTTGAGGCTGTCATTTTGCACAGACCTGGAGATCCCCCACTTCTTCTGTGAACTCGCCCAGGTCTTGAAGCTCTCCTGTTCCGATACCCTCATCAATAACATCCTGATTCATTTTGTGTTTAGCATATTGGGTTGTGTTTCCATGTCTGGAATCATTTTCTCTTACAGTCAAATTCTCTTTTCTCTTTTGAGAATGCCATCAGCTGGCAGAAACTTTAAAGCCTTTTCCACCTGTGGGTCTCATCTCTTGGTTGTGTCCTTATTCTATGGGACAGGTTTTGGGGTGTACATTAGTTCCGCAGTTACTGACTCGCCTAGAAAGATTGCAGTGGCCTCGCTGATGTACACTGTGGTCCCTCAAATGATCAACCCTTTTCTCTACAGCCTGAGAAACAGGGATATGAAGGAAGCATTGAGGAAAATAATTAGTAAGATGACATTTTCTTAATGATCATCATCATGCTTAAACCATGTTTTTAGAATACACCACTGGCCATGTGAGGCTCTCTTGCAAAATTTTTTCATGCATCTTTTTGAAAAAAAAAAAAACTTTCTATGTAGAATTATTCTATTTCTTAGAAGACCTGTTTGGTAATGAAATAAGAGCAGCACTGAATAAAAGGGAAGCTGGCAGGATGAAGGGTTGACATCTGTTTCCTACAAGCAGAAGAAGAGAGTCAGAATCATCTTTATGGGGGTGGAAGTGAGAACAATGGAGGTCTCACAGGACTATCCAGGACCGGAGTCTATATTACATTGAATCACATATAACTTTACAGTGTATTGCATTTCCTTTTCCAGAAGGAATACTATGCATACCAGTCAATACAGAGACATTAAAATTCCCTTTTCATCGTTCAATATAGTCTATCCTTGAGACAAGAGTAGGTAACCGAGAACAAGAAAAATTTTCAGCACCACAATGAGAGGACAGCTCCCTGCCTAGCTGTTTTTCCTCCCTTCGTGTTACCAGAGCATCTGCAGAAATGAATCACCCGCGGCCTTTGCTAGTACTGCAGGTTCATTGATCGCACTCAGAAACTACAGACTTTGAGTCTTTGGGAAGACCTCTGAGAACGTGCTTTATAAATAAGCCCTCTGTGAGAGTCGCATGCACCCTGACGTCTGAGAAGTGTGACATTCCCATTCAAAGCCATATGTCCTTCTTGTTAGTGAAAGCTAAGAGGTTCATTTGCATAGAAGTAAAAAAAAAATGTCATGGTGAAGGGCCAGCTAAATGGCATGGTGGTTAAGGCAGCTGGATCCCACGTGGCCGAGTGCACAGTTTGAGTCCCAGACCTGGCAACTAGAAAAACTACACCGGGTTGGTGTGCCTGTGTGCCAAAATCCCAAGAGGAGAATGGAAAAGAAGGATTTGCAGCAGGGTCATCCCGCTGGGGGATGATTTCTCACTTTCTCTGTCTCTCCAGCAAGCTCATGCACTGTATAGCAAAAATCTCTCAAAATTATTTATTTAATTTTATTTACTATTACTATTATTTTAAATGTGATGTAAGACACGTGCACTCACCAGAGAGAGAAAAGGAAAGTGAGAAAGCAAGCTGCCAGATCTGGCACTTGAACTGTGGTCCACCGTGTGTGACCTTAACCACCACTCCACCTGCTGGCCCCACAAATTATTTTTAATAAGAACATGGGAGAAGGACCAGCAGATAGCGTGATGGTTATATTACTGGACTCCCACATAGTCGACCACAGTTTGAATCCTGGACCCGGTGTCTTAAAATTCATGTCGGGCTGTTTGTGTGCGTGTGTCTAAGATCCTGAGAGGAAACTGGAGGAGAAGGGATGACACTGTGTCCATCACCCTGGGGGGTGATTTCTTGCTCTCTGTCTCTCTGGCAAGTGTACACAGCCTACAGCAAAAATCTCTCTCTAAAAAAAAAGAACATGGGAGAATGTATTTAATCTGGAACATGAAAAGTCTCATTTAATTTTGCTTGTTCAAATAGTACGTTAAGTAGTGTGTAAAACGTATCTGTAGTCTTAGAACTAGAAATTACACATCCACTGCAAAGTTGAGATCAATGCATAGGATATGTTTATTGATTATCTCACTCACGTCTTCCTCTCTCTTTTCAGTGGTAACAAATCTCCGACATTTTATATTTACTATTTACTAATAATACTATTTTCAATAGTATTCAATTATACGGATCCTATGAAAATTCCTAGCAGGGGATGGCCATGCCACAATCCCTTCTCCTCCATTCTCCTCTCGGGATCTTGGGCATGCACGCATATGTGCCTGGCGTGAGTTTTAAACCACCGGGTCTGGGACTTGAACCGAGGTCAACTACGTGGGAGTCCAGTGACATAGCCATTATGCTAACTGCTGGTCCATATATATATATATAGCCACATCACAATCCCTTCTCTTCTGTTTTCCTCCTGAGATTTTGGGCACACACACACACACACACACACACGTACTCGGTGTGATTTCAAGCCTCCAGGTCTGGCACCTGAACTGTGGTCGGCCATGTGGGAGTCCACTCCTTTAGCCACCACACCACTAACTGCCTCATACACAGGATATATATCGTTAGTAGGCTAAGACTACCTTTAAATATACCTCCCCCACCCCCAAAAGGAGCCTAGAATCCAACCACAGAAGGAAGATGGGCTAAGAGGAGCAAGGTACTTGGCAGAGAGGAGAGCCAGAAATGGTGGAGAAGGACAATGGTACTCCCTGGGCCTCGTGGGGTAAGACAATGAAAGCCAAGGTCTCCATCCAATGTCTACTTCTTAATGATCTGTGCTGCTCTGGAACCCCATGGGAGGAAGAGAGTTTGACTAATGAGGAGCTTTGGATATTGAAACCCCATGGACCACAGAGAGTGCATAGAGCCTGCTCGTGACCACTCGCCTCTCAGCCTTCCCCAGCTCATTGGCAGCATGCTTGACCCTCATCTCAGGGACCACCATCATTTCTGCACAGCAGCCAGCTGCTATATTCTGTCCCTGCATTCCCTGAGTACAGAGCTTCCATTTTCCTCCTTCACACGCAGACGAAAACTGAATGACATTCCCTAGGGCTGGCAGCCAGGTAAACTCCAGTCTCCCACTGTATGCTTTGCAAATAGGGACAGGTCTTTGTCTGTGGGTCCATGGGGGCAGCGAGGAAGTGAGGACGTGCAGATGAGTAGGATGTGATCACGGGAGAGGGGTCTGCCAACTTGTCCATCCTCTCCATGTGGTTGCTTGGAATAGTGCACCCTTCCATGGTAGTTGGGGTGTTGGACTCCCACACGACTGACCATGATTCGAGTTCTGGACCTGGCAGCTTGCTTTCTCACTTTCCCCCCTCTCTCTGGTCAAATTAAATAATAATAATAATAATAATAATAATAATAATAATAATAAAGTCAATAAATATTTTAAAAAGAGGGGAAAATGTATCATGCTAGATGGTAGATGTCTTGTTAAGCAAATGACTTTTCTCCTTTAGGTTTTCATTATTTGTGTTCTGTCTAGGTCTAATTTATTTATTTTAGTTGCTAGATGTCTTATCACGAGTTCATGAGAAGCAGACATTAATGTCATTAATGCCCATCGGGTTGTTCTCTTTTCCTGCTTCTCTTCGTAAGGAAGATTCTCAGTGAGAGTTTAGTACATCAGTTCTGTCCTGGAATACGCACTTGTCAAACTACACAAATTCTTCCTTTATCTTTCTATATATTTTTGTTCTATTTTTGGAGAGGTTTTTGCTATAGGATGCGTGCGCTTGCCAGATAGACAGAGAGAGACAGAGAGACAGAAAGCGAGAAATCACCCCCCAGGGGAGATGGCCATGCCGCAATCCCTTCTCCTCCATTCTCCTCTCGGGATCTTGGGCACGCGTGCACATGCGCCCGGCGTGAGTTTAAGCCACTGGGTCCGGGTCTCGAACCATGGTCGACTATGTGGGAGTCCAGTGACATAGCCATTACACTAACTGCTGGTCCCACCAGTGCTTTAACCACTACAGCACCTGTTGGCCCCTCTCATAAGGTTTTATGATGGCTCCCCACTACGCAAATGAGGTGGTCAAAGCTTCTCATACAGTTGAAAACATTTTGTTGTTTACAAAACAAGTACAAGAGCCAGAATTAGACACAGGTGTGCCTGGGTTGAAATCTTCACTGATGCTGTGAGTGTGGTCTAAGATTTATTATGTTGTTATTGTAATTTGGGGGGGTTGGAAATTGTCAAGGAAAAGCCTATATATGTTGGTCCTTATTTTATTCCAGTAAGTTGGCATAATAGGGGGAAAGAATAGGTATTCAGTAAATAAAATTTGGACATGCTGGTCATGTGTGCACATGTGTCCAAAATCCTGAAAGGAAGGAGAGATGGAAAAGAAGGGGTTGCAGAGGGACCATTCCCCAGGGGAGGTGCTTTTGCCCTTTCCCTCTCTCTCTCTCTCTGTCTCTTGTGAGCACGCATACCCTCTGACAAACTAAACATAAAATAACAGTTGTGTAATCAGGTAATACAGGAGAGAAAAGAGAAAGAAAAAAGATTGAGCAAAGGAAAGGGGGGAAGGTAGAAGAAAAGATTGGTACTATTTACTTGACAATATATCAATAAAAGCTTTGTAAAGTAAGTGAGCCAGGGCCAGCAGCTGGCATGGTGGTGAAGGTGCTGAACTTCTACTAGACCATAGCTCGAGTCCTAGACCCAACAGTTCGAAAATCACTCCAGGCAGATGTGCATGTGTGTCCAAAATTCTAGAATGAAAGAGAAAGGATTGTGGCATGGCCATCTCCCATGAAGGGGATGATTTCTCACTTTCCCTCTGTCTCTTTCTGTCTCCCTGGCAAGCACACATGCCCTATGGCAAAAATCTAAAAAATGCATAAATAAAAATAAAATAAGGGATCCTTGTACAGACTTTATCTGTATTTTTTTTCCATCAGGCTCCTCAAAAAGATGGAATCAGAAAACCAAACAAGTGTCCTAGGATTTCTCCTCCTGGGTCTCTCCGAAGATCCAGCCCTGCAACCTGTCCTCTTTGGACTGTTCCTGGTTATATACGTGATCACTGTGTTTGGGAATTTGCTCATCATCCTGGCCATCATCTCTGACTCCCACCTGCACACCCCCATGTACTTCTTCCTCTCCAACCTGTCCTTCATTGACCTCTGTTTCAGCACCACCACAGTCCCCAAGATGCTTCTGAACCTCCAGACACAGAGCAAATCCATTAGTTATGCAGGCTGCCTCACACAGGCCTGCTTTGTCCTGCTTTTTGCTGGTTTGGAAAACTTTCTCCTTGCCGCCATGGCCTATGACCGCTACGTAGCCATCTGCCATCCGCTTAGGTATACCATCATCATGAACCCATGCCTCTGTGGTCTGCTGGTCCTAGTCTCTCTGCTCATTAGCATCGCAGACGCCCTGCTCCACACTCTGATGCTGCTGCGGCTGTCCTTCTGCACAGACCTGGAGATCCCCCACTTCTTCTGTGAACTTGCCCAGGTCATCAAGCTCGCCTGCTCGGATACCCTCATCAATAACATCCTGGTATATTTAGTGACTAGCATACTGGGTGGTGTTCCTCTCCTAGGGATTATTTTCTCTTACATTCAAATTGTTTCCTCTATTCTGAGAATGCCGTCAGCTGGGGGGAAGTATAAAGCTTTTTCCACCTGTGGGTCTCATCTCTCGGTTGTTTCCTTGTTTTATGGGACGGCTTTTGGGGTGTACATTAGTTCTGTAGTGACTGACTCTTCCAGGAAGATTGCAGTGGCCTCGGTGATGTACACGGTGGTCCCTCCAATGATGAACCCCTTCATCTACAGCCTGAGGAACAGAGACATGATGGGAGCCTTGAAGAAGCTCATTGGAAGAACATCTTTTCTGTGATTTGTCATCTGTCTTGGACGGAGGCTTCTATAATATATCAAAGCACAAGAATGCTGGGTGAGCCAAAATGGTGGATGCATCTATCTTCAAATTCTTATGCTACAATGATCAGATATTGTAGTGACTAAGGGAGGTTCAACTTAGGTTTGACAATTGACTGTGGTCTTCTCTACCTTTTTAAAATTATTCTGCTACTGGGTGAAAATACAGATGATGGGACAGATAAAGTCCCCAGAAATTGGGCCAGCAGGTGGTAGGGTAGTTAAGGTGCTGGACTCCCACGTAGCTGACCACATTTGAAGTCCTGGACCTGATGGCTTGCTTTCTTACTTTTCCTCTTTCTCTCTGGTGAGTGCACATGCCCTATAGAGAATTTAAAAATTGTAAATAAAATTGAGTAAATAACTTTTTAAAAAGTACCCAGAGATAGGTAATAGATAGATAGATAGATAGATAGATAGATAGATATAGATATAGATAGACAGACAGACAGAGAAAGTGAGCAATCAACTCCACCCCAGGGTGGGGGGTGGCCACACTGCAATCTCTTCTCCTCTAGTCTCCTCTTAGGATTTTGGATATGCATGTACGCACACAAACCCAGCTTGAGTTTCAAGCCACTAGGTCCAGAACTTGAACCACAGTGTCCACCATGTGGGATCTAGCACCTTAGCCTCCATGCCACCTGCTGGCCCAGTCTTATCTACCTTTCAATGCTAATCGAGGTGAGCCAGACTTTGAAAGATACACACTGTATATCCCCACTCAACACATACCAAATGTCTGGCACTCTGTAGTAGAAATGTGAAGATCTGAAGATACGTGAGAGTAGAGAGGATAAGTATAGACACCAGACACTATAAGAAAGGGGAATTGGTGGTAGAGTGGGTGGTAGAGGGTAGGTAAGAGGGGCAAAGGAAAGAAACATTTAACAGACAAAAGAATGTAAAGTTCTCTGTGGAAAAATAAGTCCTGTAAATTTTGCTTTCTAAAAATAAAAATTAAAAAGAAAATTTTGAACATGTGCGTGACATCTCTGAGTTTAAAACAGGTTCTATCAAAACAGAACAGGAGCAAAGGAAGTTGCTATTGTTACCAGGAGGCGGGGGCAGGTTTTCTGAAGAGAATGTGAGTGACCGCAAGAGAATTGGACAACAATTTCGTTATAGGTAGAGAACTAGCCTCAGCCTGAAACCATGGATAGAACCACATTTATGACATTTTCAGATCATTTCCAACTTAAACCTTGTTTTATACTTTGATGATATCCGCAGCTTTGTCACTGGCATTGTTACAATGGATGATCCTGGCAGACTTCTTGACGGAGGTAATTCCCCAGGAAACAAAACAGTCAGGTACATGTGTGTGTGTGTGTGCCCAAAATCCTGAAAAGAGGGAGAAATGGAGAAGAAGGGATTTCAGTATGACCAACCTCCCTGGGGGTTGGGGCGGCTCTTTCTTCCTCTTCTCTCTCTGTCTCTCTCTCTCATGAACGCACACATCCTCTGGCAAATTTTAAAAGGAGGGGGGCTTAATTTAACACAGTTGAATTATTTATCAGTATTTTCCTTTGTGGTTTGTGCTCAAACCATCTTTTTAATGAAATCCTTACTTAGCTTGAAACTATAGATATTTACCCCTTTTAAAAGATACATAACATTGTCTTCTACATTTATGAATAAATCCACCTGGAACTTCTTTGTGCCTGTGTTGAGATACAGACATCCAATTTTTTTCTTTTTTCTTTTCTTTTTTTTTTTTTACTTTTCTTTTCTTTTTTATTTTGCTATAGAGCATGTGCACTCACAGGGAGGGGAAGAGAGAGAGAGAGAAATCACCCCCAGATGGGGGATGGACCATGCTGCAATCCCTTCTCTTCTATTCTCCTCTTGGGATTTTGGACATGCACACAGGCAAATCCAGAGTGTGTTTCATGCTGCAGGGTTCAGGACTTGAACCATGCAGTCAGCCTGTGGAATCCAGCTTCCTTAACCACCACACTCTCCAAATTTCATTTTTATCTATATAAATAACCAATTTTACTAGCACAATTTTAATAACTATCCACATTGTTTTTCTTGGCTTCTTTATTTCATTTTTATTACTTTTAAAATTCAATTACTCGGGACCAGCAGTTAGCGTAATGGCTATGTCGCTGGACTCCCATGTAGTCGACCGCAGTTCACATCCCGGACCTGGTGGACTAAAACTCATGCTGGGTGCATGTGCGTGTGTGCCCAAGATCCCAAGAGGAGAACGGAGAAGAAGGGATTGTGGCGTGGCCATCCACGCCGTGGGGGGAACTCTCTTTCTGTCTCTCTGTCTCTGTCTGTCTGGCGAGCGCACACGCCCTATAGCAAAAACCTCTCCAAAAAAAAAAAATTAAATTACTAAATATCTTTACAACATAAAAAATGAATTTTCCCCGCATAAATACACTGTATGTTAGTTCAGTTAAGGATATCACCATACACATTTTCATCAACAGATAATTTTCCATTTTTGTGTCCACTGAATATTTTGCTTCTTTTACCCTTGATTCCTCCCTCTCAACCTTCCCCATTTCCCACCCTCCTCCCGCACTGTCTGTAGTATCCACAGTTGCCCTCCACGCTACTGAGATGCTTATTGTTTTACATTTAATCACTACACATCTTTATAGCACACAAAATTAATTTTACCAGCATGAATACATTGTATATGAATCCAGTCGATGGTTTTCTTAATGCCTGAGAGTATATGCGTGCCCATGAGAGAGAAAAAAGAAGAGAGAGACAGAGAGAGAGCATTTCTCCAGCAGGTCTTGGTCATGCAGCAATCCTTTTCCCACCAGTTCTCCATACCAGGAGGACCCCACACACGTGTCTACAGCATGATTTTCAACAGAAGCTGGGACTCAAACCCTGGTCAGCCATGTGGAATCTGTTTCCTTTGCATAGAACTTAACCACTGTACTACAGAACTGGTCCCACTTTATATCTTATCATCATTTTAGGCTATCATATAAGTTACAAAATGGTGTCTACTTTTCCTATGTACTCCTCACTCAGCTTCTCTCAATGACAATATACTCTTAAATAATCATAGTATCTTACCAAAACCAGGAAACAGACACTGGAGTAATACTAAAACTAAACTACAGATCATACGAGGATTTCATGGGAATTCATTTTAAGGAAGCACAGAAAAGACAGATTACACATTCTCACTGGAGCAGATGAAATTGTTAATCTGATCAAAGCCTTATTGCATAAAAAGATCTAATAGCCACACTGGGGATAGGGTTGCTTTATCTCTTCCCAGTCTCAGTGCATGTAGATCCCCATTCATTAAAGAAAGGAAGGAAGGAAGAAAGGAAGGAAGGGAGGGAGGGAGGGAGGGAAGGAGGAAAGAAGGAAGGAAGAAGGGAAGGAAGGAAGGAAGGAAGGAAGAGAAAGAAAGAAGAAAGAAAGAAAAGAAGAAAGAAGAAAGAAGAAAAAGAAAGAAGAAAGAGAAAGAAAGAAAGAAAGAAAGAAAGAAAGAAAGAAAGAAAGAAAGAAAGAAAGAAAGAGAAAGAAAGAGAAAAAGAAGAAAGAAAGAAAGAAAGAAAAAGGAAAAGAAAAAGAGTAGCCTCTGGTGTGGTGGTGAGGACAGCGGACCCCACATGGCCAAATGCTTGGTTCAAGTCTGGACCTGAGCATTGGAGAAACACTGAGTGCAGGTGTGTCTATGCCCAAAATCTCGAAAGGAGGGAGAGATGGAGAAGAAGGATTGCCATGTAGGAAGGAAGTACATTCTCATTTTCCTTCTCTCTCCAGCACATGAGCACTTTAGCAAATGTATTTATTCATTTAATTTTTTAAAAAGAATCATTTTATTTAACTTTATTGATTGATTTTAATTTGACCAGAGACAGACAGAGTGAGAGAGAGAGAAAGTGAGAAAGCAAGCCGCCAGGTCCGGGACTCAAACTGTGGTCACCCATGTGGGACTTCAGCACCCTTAACCACCATGCAACCTGCTGACCCCCCTTAGTTATTATTTTATTTTTAAGAAAAAGAGGGACCAGCAGATGGTGTGGTGGATAAGACACTACTACATCCCACATGACCAACTTCATTTGAGTCCCAGACCTGGTGGCTTGAAAAACATGGGCACCTGTGTGTGACTGCCCAGAATCAGAGAATGGAGGAGAAGGGATTATGACATGCCAACTCCCTGTGTGTGTGTGTGTGGGGGGGGGTTGGTCTCACTTTTGCTGTCTCTGTGTCTCTCTCTGTTTCTCTCAGGTGAGTGCATGCACCTTATGCCAAAAAATAAAAATCTAAAGAAAAAAAAAAACACATAAAAAGGAAAAGAAATCACTCTGAAATACTGTCTATAGTGCTAATTCAAAGAGGTTCCATCTATTCTTTTTGCCCACTTCAATGACACAGTGGCTCTCAACCATGCCTGTGCTTTAGAATATCCTCCAGTGCATGTGAAAATCGCAGTGTGTGGGACCAGCAGTTAGCGTAATGGCTATGTCGCTGGACTCCCACGTAGTCGACCACGGTTCGCGTCCTGGACCCGGTGGCTTAAAACTCACGCTGGGCGCCTGTGCGTGCGTGCCCAAGATCCCGAGAGGAGAATGGAGGAGAAGGGATTGCAGCGTGACCATCCTCCTTGGGGGGTGATTTCTCTCTTTCTATCTCTCTGTCTCTCTGTCTGGCGAGCGCATACGCCCTATAGCAAAAACCTCTCCAAAAAAAGAAAAAAAAAAAATCGCAGTGTGTGAGCACCACACCAGACTGACTAAATAAAAACCTCTGGTAGTCAGATCCAGGAAATTTTCTTTAGATTCCCTAATGATTCCATTCCCATCTGCAGCCAACAATTAGAATTGCTGTTACTATAGACTGTGGAAAGGAAGGAAAACGGAGACTCAAGTTGTGATTTGAAAGGACCCATGAGCTGCCCAAGGAGATAGATTTCCCACTGAGATGCAAACAGTCTCACAGCTGAAGGGATCAATTCTCCAC